ATAGGTTTAAATTTTTAATTTTTTTTTGTTTTTATCTTTTTGAATCTTATTTTATTGATAGGAATCCATAAAATGTACTTACTGATATTAAATATTGATAATGGATGAAAGAAAAATATTCTTGAAGCCATTGAGTGTTCTCTTTTAATCCAGTATGTCTTTGATTGAAGTTTGATCTGCAACCACTTAGTGCACAACATCTGTTATTGCTAGTGCCATGGTTTGAACTCTCATTTATGGCATTTGGTCCTCATCAATACAACCAGCAATGGAGACTCATCTTACTCTTTTTTTTTTTGGCTCCAAGGTGGGTTCTGATGATCGCTCATTTACTATATACAAGTAAATATATAGCGTACTTTTTATTGTGCCTGATTGATCAAATGAAGACTTATACGATTCAAATGGAATAATTTGTTAATCTAAGAGAATTTGTTGCACAAGAAGGTTCCTTCATTTTTGGAAAAACTTCAAAAGATGTCGAAATGACCATCTTTGAAAATGTCCCGCACTTTCTGCACTCCCCATTGCAGTCATTCATAGAATTAAAGAAAATCTACACCCACACCCAAAAAAAATTATTAAACCTACCAATTAATAATAGTTCATAAATAATTGCCTAATTATTGCAATAAGATTCAAAAACAATGATTGGTTGCACGTGAAATAGAGAATGATATGCTAGTTCATTGATTTACTAGTTAATGCCGCTATGTTTCAAGAGGCTTCTTAAGGAATTATTGGTGGGGATATTTTTGTTCGCCAACACCATAGTGCTTTTCGAAAGACCTTCTATCTAGATGATCGGACATGACTCCGTAGAATCATGTCCTCTTGAAGGAAGTGAATATTGCCTTAGAATTGGGTCTAACCACCTGGATGAGGAAAGGCATTTTTCGATTACGGAACTAAGGTTTTTTCCTTACCTCACAAGTGTAAGATAAGATTTATTTTAATGATGGGGCCTTGCTTCTTTCAAAGGCATAACCTCATAGTTAATTACATCTTTAAGGTCATGAACCATAAAGAAAACTTTTGATT